TATATATATATATATGTACTAGTGTGCTCGCCTTCGGCGGCTCTGAAAGCTCCATCCACCCGGCGCGAGTGCATCAGTCGCAAACATGATTTCACTATCGCGACCATAACATTATGATATCGTTAGGTCTCTTATTGCATCTCTTTCACGTTTTTCTCGTTTGAGATATTTTTGCCCGCGCACGCTCTCCGCTCTCGTTTCATCTCGGAGAAAAAAGCTGACGCTGCGTGTGTCTGATCTATTATTCTCCACGATGTAGCCTGCCCTTATCATCCGGAGACTTTATGATGAAAAACGTCGTCTGAGATTCCGACACCGTAAACGCTCCGCAACTCTCAGGATAATTCTATTTTGATAAAAATAATAATATATTTTGACATTTTAAGTAATATGGATTGTATTGTTGATTTCATATCCGTAACAAGCTTATTTTTCATGTACATTTTAAAAAACAAAAGTCTTTTTAAATAAAATGTTTTAAATTGTCTTTTAATTTATCTTTTTGATCAAATTAATTTAATTCATAATCAAGAATACTAATCGTTTTAATTATACAGCCTGTTCTTATGACCAAATTCTTTATTTATTGCACCAGAATTATAATTATTTATAATTATAATTAAATATGGACTTGTTTTAGGTACATGGCCATCGTGAATCCTTTGAAACCACGTATGGGGAAAAAGGCGACATTGTGCGTCGCAATCATAATTTGGATCATCGGGGCAATTTTATCTTTACCGATGTTACTTTTCTACACCACGTACACTCAGAACTTCATGAATGGCGAAGTCCGCGTCGTCTGCTACAGCGATTGGCCGAACACAGACGATAATGGACTCAGCTACGATGAATATTTGTAAGCCAAACGTTTTAATAATGAATACATATTTCTAAAATGTATTCCTTAATTATTTCTATATATTTGCATTCGTCTGATCTTTCACAAAATTTATTTCCCTAATTTAATCGATTTGTTTCTATTATTATTATTATTATTATTATTATTATTATTATTATTATTATTATTATTATTATTGTGCAGATGTAAGTAAGGCTTCTTTATTTCGATTTTGATCGAATACTACAGTAACGTGTTTAAGATCGTCTGAATACCTCGCAAAGATCCACAATACGCGTTCGCGCGTATACATATAAGTTACTGTAGTTAAACACATTTTTACCATTCGCGTTTTTTATAGCGTACAGTTAAATGAGTCACGAAAGATAAAAGCGATCACTTTCCGAAGATCCATAAAAGTATCGTTACCTCATATACACATACATATCAACGCAATACTATTACACCAATTATTTTATAATTTATGTCGTTAAACGATTGCGCCTGCCGATCATGACTAATTACAATTGGTTTGTCTCTTACGTACATGAACGTGTGTATCAGTGTGTGCCATGTTTATTGTACTGTCCTAATGAGTCTCTCATTTTACTATGAAGTGTTTCTAGGTTCCTGCGATAAGAGAGGCGATAAATCGAGTTAATAATACCTTCAATTCGGTGCATCGTAAATGTATCGCGTGTCTTCAAAATACTTACTCCTATCACGTGCGATTAAATCTTTCAAGCTTTGATCGGATTGTAATTACAGATGAAAATCTGAATTGTTCCACATTTGCGTTCGCTTCGTGCGATCGTCCATTAAGATAAGTCTGCGAAAACGTACTCGCTTCGTGTGCTGTTTCCTAATTGAAAGATTCAGACAGTATACCCAGAGCTCGGTGCTATCGTGCATAGCACGACATGTAAAATCACTAAAATCACGCATAGGCGACGTCCATAGTGCGATAACCAGGAGAATTCTAATCCTGATATAAATACAGTTTCGAACAGTTGTTCCTAAAATAACTTATGCTTAATCCAAGTTCACGCGATTCTATCCATCGTTCTATAATCTCTAGCCTAAGAATCTCTTCTATTCTGCGAGATTAGAAGATTCGCACGACACCAAGCTTTCCGTATTATTTCGCCCCTCGTCTCTTTACTTATTCGAAGCGTAACAAAAGTATAGTTTCAAAATATAGTTTCACATTTCTTCATCAATAGCTCGATATAAAAGTATTTATGAAATTAATTTTTCGAAATTTTTCTTTATACATATATGAATTATAAGCTTATAATTAGTCGCACGCTTGGAATAACAACAAAGCGATACACATCGACAAATAAAGAAACGGGAAAGAAAATTTATGTTACTACGTGTAAAATTCATTATAAGCCACACCTTACAAAGGTGTGGTTTACAATGCAATACGATAATGTTCTATAATTATCATAATTATTTCAAACGTGTTAAATTAATGAAGATTAATTGCAGTCGTAAATTCTGAAATTATCAGGAGACTATAATGACTATAAATAATAAGAATAAATGAATAAACAAATATTGCATACATAAATAGGAATACAATATATTTATCCATTTTTTTACATTTATTCTTTCTACATATCAAGTTATTGGAAAAAAAGAAAAGTTAATCACAAAAAAAGTAAAAAATTTAAAAATGGAGAAAAAAATTAAAAATAAGGACTTTTTTTATTTCGAATTAGTCATCCAAATTTATATATTATTTTAAGAATAATCATAACCATTATGAATTAATACTAAACGATTATCGTCCATGAACTTATGTATCGTCCACAACTTACCTGCTCTCAATGTGCACAATTTTATTAAATGCGATTTCATATTTGAGTCAATCTACATATAATCTTATATGATCTTATATAATATAAGATTAGCTTACTCGATATTCTTAAAATTTTTCGAATATATTTTCTTCTTTCGGGCGATACATTTCCAAGCATAATGTAATCTAATCCTCGTGTAATCCTTAAGCAAATTTGTATAAATATCAGTATTATTGTAGCGGAAACAAATTTATACAAATATCAGTATCATTGTAATAAATAATGCTATTCGATCGTTTCTCGAATATTCTGCTTTGCTACTGGATTTGCTCATTCACTACTGCCGATAATTAGCTTTTACGGACTTTCACGATTTAAATTCGCATAGAGTATTCTAAATTGGAACTACGCGAGTATAATCTGATGAATTTCTGCATCAGTAGTTTTTATTCGTTCGAAATAAACACCGGTTTTCCAAGTGTAACGTGGAATCGGAAATTTCGATTGTTGTATAATAGCTTGCGACACCTCGTAATCTGATTGCAGCGAACGCGATAATCCATTGATCAATTCATTATCGTTTGTTAATAATCCTAATGCTAAGTTCGTTTCACCATGATGTCCTCATCATGACGAGCTAAATGTTCCGTTAGAAAATTAACAGCCGTTAGCATCGCTTTCAGATTGTCATAATTAATGCATGTAGATAGGATTATATCCGCAAAAATTACGGTGTTGGCACTAGTGATAAAAACACGAACTTGATAATTTAGTCATGTCTTTCAGCCTTTGCCAATGCAAATTAAACTAATTGATTGCGTAATAAAGGATTAAAAGATTCTTTCTTTCTTAAAATGCCGTTCGCGCAATACTTTAATGAACTTTTAAAAACTTGTAAACTTACTTTAAAATTCCGTTTGCATTCTATCTTAAATTCCATCGAAAGTTTGTAACTATACGTTACGTGTAATTTATTTAACTGTTCCCTCTCCATAAATTTCACATTGCAAGTCGTTATCCCGCTACTTAATGACAATTACGTGATTACCATTAGCCACGTATATACCTACATAAATGATTACACATGAGTTTTCATGTTCGAAACGTGAGTTCAATTTAATTCTCCTGTCCAATTATGACTTGATAATGCCATCGATAACTTTGTCAACAAACAACATCAAACATTCACACATTGGTCGGTTCATTAAGTCTAATAATATGTGCACTTGCGTAATATCAGCCATCGTGACTGGTGCCATCGTGCATCTACCGAATCGATCATGTATTATTTTCATTCGGCGTTAAATTGGCACATTTAGCATGCACTTTGGAAGAAGTTACGCGCCACAATACTTCTGAACAAAAATGTGTCCGTGAAACCGCGATATCACGTTATTTTCATTCTCCCGTTGAGCATAACGTGTCATTGCCTTTCGCACCATTCAATGTAAATTTACGTTGAAAGTGCTAAAGTGCACGAATAACACCTGCGACTTCTGAAATACCAGTTTTAGTTAAATTTGATTGTCTAAACCACAAATTAGGTCAAACATACGCAATTGTGAAATATCCGCATGTGTGATGAATTTCATAATAATAAATTTATTAATAAATTAATCGCTTTCGATTATAATAATTCTAAAATCGATGTTTCAAAAACCTGTGCGCAGTCTATTTTCGAATTTCCATTTTTAATTTTCGATTTTAAGAATAATTAAATCTTAAATTCATTTCTGTTAAAGAAAAGTAAAATTAACTAGGAAGAAAAGTGAAATCAACTGGAAAAAATAAAATCTTTCTTATCTGTTTAAATCTTTTAAAACTGTTAAAGCATGAAGGTACTTTAAGTTTTGATGTCAACTGAATAATGAAGCCTTGAGCATTTTTTATAGAACAGAAAGCTTTAGTTTCCTTAAAGAATCTTAGGAGAAAGTACGCGATTCCTGAAACACTTCATAGAATAGACGATGCTCGATATTACATCAAATAAATTTGTTCTTATGAGGTGATAGAAATTTAATTGACTTTCAGGTACAACGTTATTTTCATGATATTGACATACTTTTTACCAATCGGATCCATGACATTTACTTATGCCAGGGTTGGCCTGGAATTGTGGGGCTCGCAAAGCATCGGGGAGGCCACAGCCAGACAGCTCGAAAATATTCGGAGCAAACGAAGGGTATGTATAGAATGAATTAATATCCGCGCATAGTTTAGACGCTGAAATTGCTTTCTCGATCGAAAAGTGATTTAAAGTGGAAAGACGCGTATGCGATGTGAAAGTGCTTACGCGATTCTTCTAAGTTCTTCTCTCTCTCTCATCCCATTTTGTATTTTTTTTTCATCTCAACAGTAGACAGTATTTGATCAGAAAGGGAATAAAATCGTTGCTTTTAAATATTTCATGAACGAAGAAACGGATGTTAATAAATTTCATAAATTCATGTTGGAAATTGTTACACATTTCTTGTGTTCGTTTAAGTAATTAAAGTGCAATGTCGTGTCAGTACTTGTAACGTATTTACACGAAGTGATTCAACTGATTGTAAGTAATCTCGTGCACGTTCTTTATCTTACTCTCTCACTCGGTCAAAATCGAACTATTTCAATTAATTAAGTTTAGATAGGAACTTTAGACAATTTCAATTTACGTTCTAGTCTTTTGTTCGTTGTGCATGCCGAGAAAGGAATAAATATTGCCTTATTTCCCTTACAAGATGATAAATAAATCATAAATATTTCATATTCACAAAAGGAATTCTAATTATTACAACAGTATTGCATCTTATATCTAATTATCTCGTCAATTAATGCAATATCAATTCAATATCCATTGAATATCCATTGAAAATAGTGTTATGCGTTTATTGACACATCGCACAGCAAGAAACTACCGATAGCGATCGTATAATGCATTTCATAGTTATTCCTCTATATTTTCAAAATTTTAAATGAAAGATTACTGGTATTGATTTTTGCGTGAATGCCCTCCCTTAAATGTTGTCCGGGATCAGATAATATTTATTAAGTTCAAGGCCACACATTGGAGATTATTTCTCTTATTTTCATTTTTTGTATCAAAAATTCACTTTTACGTAAAAATGAAAATAAGAGGAACAATCTCCAATAACTTTGATCTCGATAAATATTCAGGACATAATTCTGAACAACATCAAAAGGTTTTAACTATCGACTTTATGCGACCTTCAAACAATTATTCAAACAATTATTCACCAAAAGATAGTCCTTCATAACTCTTTTATTGGATTTCATTTTCCAGAAAGTGCTTTTGGAGATTATAAGGAGATCCCAGGATTCTTTTCGAATACCCTGTACAATATTTGTAATTACACAGTTATAAGAGCAACACTGGAACAGCTTTAAATTTTAGTTATTTAGAGTGGGCCAACTAATTACAATTAGACGATTAATGATACGATACGCTATTTATGATATGCTATTTATATAGTATTTCATTCTTGTTGATTATCAAATATCTATACAACGGTGCTCACGTGAGTCGAACCGCGTGCGACCAAGGATTATATTTATATTATATTTATATAAAGAGAATATCAGTGAAATACAATGTTAGGTACACGGATATTGAAAAAATAAAAATTTATTTTTCAAGAAAAACTTTATAACAATGAAAAAAGTTTAACTTTTTGACTCATATTTTTCTACATATTATATGAGAGATATCCAACAAATTATGATATGGATTTTACGATCTAATTGTTTGTCAAATTTTTTTCAAAAAAATGGAAAAAAAATTTTTTTATTAATTTATTTTTACACTATTAAATTCAACATTTAAAATAACATAAAAGTACATATTTTCAAAATTTTTAATGAAAGATTATTGATTTTTGCGTGATTGCCATGCCTTAATGCAATTATTATTACAGAGTATTATAAATTATATTTGTTTTCGGAGAAGAGACATATAGCATCTGCGATCTGCGAGTATTAGGAAGGTTGCGTGTTGATAATTATGGCAAAATGTAAACCTATACGAATGCAAATGTGAACAATGCTACATAATCAACTAATACATATACATCAAATTCAGAAATCCAGGGAATACGCATGTGAACGGCATTAAGATTCATATAAAACGATAATATTCAGCAGCCTGATAATATTGCCTTTATCCAACCCTCGTAAACTTGGCTTATCGGCTCCGTTTTAGTAGCTGCGGGGAGCAGCTATCCAATGATTTTCTTCCTTTATGAATAATTCCTTTATGAACATCAGCGATTCTTCAATAATATCCATAGCAACGAGAACCGTGTTCTCGCAAAAAATCCGAAATACGTCTTTGTCTTTTCTTATCATAATAAATCATTATGGTAATTTTTACTGCCTGTATGATGAATGAATGCGCAGACTTTCACAGATCGCAAAGAAAGATTTTTATAACAAAGAAAGATTTAAAAGCAATTCACTTACCACGCTAGTAAAAAAATTATACAATAGATGTACAAAATGTTCAGATAAGATACACAATTTTTTGGATGTAGAATGAAAGTAGAAATTTCGCTCTAATAGTAAGGACAATAAAAATTAATTTCAAGCATCAAACATTTTTCGCAAACGTCTACAAGCGCTTTAAAAAGTTGTATCTCAATGTTACTAATAATTTTTTTCTGTTCCTTTCATCCAATTTTTTTTACTGCGTGCGAAATGAAAAAAATGTGATTATAACACGACTTTCATTCGATGGTATGGAAGCTAAAAAATGCCTTCCCAATTAGTCTTAAACGCAATGTGCAATGACTATTTGCAAGCTTAACGAGGAAGCAAAGATCGCAAGTGTACGTGAGATATTCTGAGTTATTATCCTGCTACGAATATCTCAGAGAAGGCAGCTCAAATCTAAAGTCTGGCCATAATTCGTAATTAGACGAATCCCGGTCTGCATCTTCATGGACTTCTATTTCCGACACTTAGACTTTAACTCTCCCAACTTTCGGTCAATAAAGTTTGAGGGGAAAGTTCCATCTATTCTCTATAGTAACACACTGGGATGCTTAGTTGATTTTTGGTCGCAAAAAGAGAGAAAAAGGAAAAAAGGAAAGAGAAGCGGCCCTCGGGGGATGATCCCTTTGTTTCAGAAATATGTGTATTTTAACATGTTAGTGATACATGCCGGATATCGATTGCCGACAAAAGCGTTTATTGTCTATCGTTTGTGATCTGCGGTCCGAACGGAGTGAAAAATGACTAGGTATAAGTTTCTATTTTTCGGCCAATGCTGCTGCCTCTATTTTATTCTTGCAAATATTGCAGCTGCAATTTTTTAAATGGAATACGATAAATAATGTGAAATAGTGATAAATGTAATAAATATTTTTTCAATATTTAAATTTTGCACGATAATATATATATATATATATATGCGATTTAACCGCACATAATTAATGTTGAGATACTATCTAATCAAGTAGAGTGATTGCGGAGAAGAGAATAAATGGAATGTAATTATCGGATATAAAAATGGTCGTCCTAAATGGACGTAATGAATTCGCAACGAAGCGATCGATACGAGTGCAAGAAGAATAATTGCATATTTTCTCGAATATTTATATTGTAAAAGAGACTGAATTCTTAATTCATTTCTGCTAATTACGCACAGCTATGTATATAAATTACAAATGCGTAATATATATATTCCTAATGCATTTCCCGTTGAAATCTTCTTAATAGAAACGTGTACAATTTAAAAACTTTTGATACTGATTCAGAATTATTAAATTATAATTATTGATCAATTATCAAACTGAAATTTATATAGTTATACTCTTTTATACTCTTCAAAGAAATGTTTGGTATTGGAAATTACGTTGGCATACTGACTTTTCTGAAATTTACGTCTATTGTAAAAATAATTGTAGTATTAATGTAGTAAATTTATTAATTGTAGTAAACATAATTGTAGTAATTAATCATTGTAACAACCTTGCCTTTTAAATACTCAAAGAGTATTTAAAGTATAATAAAAATAATAAAATTACAAAATTCAATAAAAAAAAAGTAAAGCTTAACTTAACTTATCGTTTGAATTTAATTGCTCAACTTTCTATCTTTAAAAAAATCCAATTTTTTATTAAAAATTACTTATTTTGAGTATTAAAGCATTAAATAACAGTGCTTTTTTAATTCAAAATAAATAATTAATCACTACTTTTCAATATTAAATTTCTTTAAGCACTGCTTTTAGATTCCGATATTCTAAGTCTTGCTTGCTCATAGTGTAGGAATAAAGTAATAACTTAATTCTATTTCATTGTTTTTAAAAACATTACTACAATATAAAATTTATATTTGAAAATATTATTATATAAAATAATCTCAAAATAAATAGGAAGCAAGAATTTCATGTTACAATGCATAATTTGATCAAAATATTAAATGCTCGTACACACAATCATAAAACATTTCTCAATATTCTGTTTTAAACAATCTATAAAATTTCTTCACTATATATAATTCTTCCGTTTAATTAATAAAAGAAAGAGATAACGTGTCTACTTTTAATTAAAATATCCGCGGAGGATTGTAACGGTATATTAGTAGAATCTAATTAAGCGGGCCTCCTCAGTATATTCGAGTGGAGATGCATTGAATTTCGATTAGGTGACGTCTGCTCCATCGCGTCGCATACGTATCGACGCATGTTCCGATCGCTAACATACGCGCGTTACGAGTTCTCACGTCCATTACAAAACTTATCTGTGTACAAATAGTAGAGTTTCAGTCTATAATAATTGGACAATGATTCCGTATCTGTAGGCAGACTGTCGTAGCAGACTTTTACATAACATATAATGCATAATGCATAAAAAAATCAACTAGAATGTTTCCTTTCCTTCCATTTTACGGAAAAGAGGAATTTTAATTCGTTGATTTTTTATGTACTATTTTATGCGCATTGTGCGTTATGCAAAAGTTTGTGCTGCGATTTTTATTGACATTATAGTTACTACGATGAAAATGTTATGGCTTCAATTGACGCACACAATTCCTACATCTATACATTCTGTGAAGAGATATTCTTAATATCTTTCCTTTTTGCATCTTCAGAAAATTTCTCGTTAGGTTTCATTAAAATTTATTCAAAAGTAGAGAGTGCTTTGCTCAGCGCTATTCGGTTTACAAATTACACAAACGTTC